CATCACCAGGCAAGGAATTCCAAGTTAAACCACAACGAGATTCCACTACACATATATTTAAAAAGCTAAAACTAAAAATACTGACCATAGTGAGTATCGACAAGGATGCGGAACTACCTGAACTCTCGTACATCCCTGCTGGGAATGTAAAATGGTATAATCACTATAACCTCTACTGTATTATCTAGCCATGCCACCCCTAGGTGTTTACCTACTTACAAGGAAATGTGTCCCCATACAAAGAGCTGTACACAAATGTTTATTTGCAGTAGCCCTGAACCGAAAACAACCCAAATGTTCATCAACAGATGAATGGATAAACACATTGTGGTACATCCATGCAGCGGAATATTATTTATTCAGCCATAGAAAGGAATGAACTGTTGATACACGCAACACCATGAATGAATCTCAAAATAATTTTGCTGACTTAAAGGAGCCAGACACAAAAGAGCATTTATTATATGATTTTATTTATAGAAAACTCCAGAAAATGAAAACAGAAAGCAGATCAGTGGTTGCCTGAGGATGGGAGAGGGCAAGAAGGGACAGGAAGCAGGGACGACAAAGGGGCACAAATAAACTTTGGGGCGATGGATATGTTGTTCACTATCTTGACTGTGGTGATGGATACACACACACACACGTATATATATAGCCCTGGTGGCGCAGTGCTTAAGAGCTATGGCTGCTAACCAAAAGGTTGGCAGTTCGAATCCACCAGCTGCTCCTTGGAAACCCTATGGGGCAGTTCTACTGTGTCCTATAGGGTCACTATAAGTCGGAATCAACTCAATGGCAACAGCTTTGGTTTTTGGTTGTATGTATATATACGGATACACATACACACACCCAATGATGAAAAGACAACCCCATAAAAATTGGGCAAAATATTTGAACAGACACTTTGCAAAGGAAGATACAGAAATGGCCAGGATCAGGGAAATAATTAAAATAACAATGAGATACCACTTCACACACAGTTGAATAGCTAAAATTAACGACTGACAACCCCGAATGTTAGTGAGGATACAAAAGAAAAGGGACTCGCATACATTTTTGGGGGGAATGCAGATTGTACAACCACTTTGGGAAACATTCTGGCTGGTTCTTACAAAACATACAGCTCTCTGATAAACCGGCAATTCCGCTCCTACGTATTTGCCTAAGAAAAATGCAAGCACATAGTAGCCACACAAAAACTTGTACAAGAACGTTCATAGTAGCTTTATTTACAATAGTCCATACTGGAAACATACCATATCATAAACTAGCAAGTGAATTAACAAACTCTGATATATCCATCAGTGGAATACTAACTACTCCACAATAAAAAGAAAGAAGCACCAACACAGACAACATAGATAAGTTCCCAAAACATCATACTGAGTGAACGAAACCAGACACAAAATAGTACATATTGTATGACTCCATTCGTCTGAAGTTCTCATAGAGGCAAAAAATCATTATGGTGGAAAAACTCAGAGCAGTGGTGCTTATGTGTGGGATGGTGGTGAGGGCTGCCTGGGTCTGACGGGGGGGCCTTTCTGGGGTGTTGATCATGTTCTGCATCCTGATAGGGGTTTGGAGTATGCATTTGTCAAAACTCACTGCATGGGCCAGGTAACTATTGCGCATTTCCCAGTATGTAAATTTTACCTTAAAAAAGTAAAAAGCACAGTAAACAAGTTTTATTTTGTATAAAATAAGTATGATGTTTGATCCCTAGTTCATGATATGCACGCGTAAGTGTTTAAATGTGAAGTGTACTTATGTCAGCGACTTACTTTGAAATGCATGAATGAAATGAGCAGGACCATGGGATCAAGCAAGTATAGCGTACTGCTCATTGTAGAATATTGGCGGTTGGTACGTGGGTACAATTATTTCCATTCATCTGTATGTTTCAACGTTTTCATAAAATGGGGGATACGAAAAAACTTGTCAGCGTCTAATGGATAAAATAATTGCAAGAATATTTAAGAAGTTGGTTATAACCATTATCGCTACTAAAGCATTAAATGTTTATTAATAAAAATGTAATAAAAAGTGTCACTCAATCAAATTCTGGGCTTTGCGTGGCTTCGCCTCCCAGCTTCCGCCTCCTCTCCCTTGACCTCTGCACTCCAGCTGCATTTTCCTTTTTGGTCCTAGAATACGTCAAGGTTGTGCCTGTCACGGGGCGTTTGTACTTGATGTTCCTTTTGCCGTGGATACCCTTCCTACCTTCAACCACATTCACCTGAGTCCCTCTATCATTAAAACCCATCTCAGCCTTAGCGTCACTGAAGCCCCCCTCCCATCACTCCCCATTGATTTTCTTCCCAGCTGTCACTACTCTAACGTGTTCTACGTTTATCCTTGTGTATCATCGGCTTCAACAAGGCAGCGACCTGGATTCCCACGTGCCGGGCAGTAGCTCCGAGATTTTTGTTGAGTGACGGTGAATTCACCTACAGTTGGCTCACATCTGCTTGCTGCACCCCCAGGATCCAAGGATCCTGTCGTTTTTGCTTCATAGTATGACCTGCTATTTTGAAACGAACTCCTGTGTTTGCTAGTTTGTGGCGGGTGCTCACACACACTCGCGCGCACACATGCCCTCTCAGGGGCTCTCGGAAGCGAGAGCGTGTCCCCCGAGGGCAGGGCTGGGCCAGGCACAGCGAAGGCCACCAACCTTGTCAGCTTTGAGCCCTCAAGTGGGGGGCTGCCTTTCATCGCCCTCGGATCTCGTCCCCCCACCGTACCCAAAGGGGAGGGGTTCTTTCCAGCCATTCGTTCTCTCCATCGTAGGCGGGGCCGTGGGCTCATTCATTCATTCACTCGTACATTCATTGCTTCCCGCCCCCCCCCCCGCCCCCCGGGGCTTCCGGCGAGCTCTCCGCTCCCCCGCGGCCCCGCCTGACCCTCCTCCTCGCCCCGCCCCCTTTCCCAGCCAATCGGGGCCGGCAGGCTGGGCGGGGCCGGGGCGGGGTCTCGCTCCCCCTTTACTGGCGGCGC